TATGCCTTGTACTCGTATGCGGTTTAGAGATAAATATATTAACTAAAATACAAATTATAAACAGTGATTGATTAAATTGGATTAATTGTTTTTTTTTTAAATTTATAAATACACATTATGACAATTTTTTATTTTAAAGCTAGTATTTATTCAAACTTTAATTGATCACAAAATGAATTTCCGTATTATATGGCACGTGTCTTCAACAGATGAAAAATGTTCAAGGATGAAAGGTTATAGTTTAAATAGTTTAGTAATATATTCTTAAAATAACTTATAGTAATTAAAATATTTCCAATATGAATTAAAAACTATTTGAAACTATTTTCACTGTTGTATTCAACAGTTGTTCTACAGATAATTCTCTTAATTGCTTTTGAAAATACAAGTCTTGATCTATTTATTTTGTAATGATCATTATTTTAATATATGTATGTAAGCTTACTTTATATAGATTTACATTTTTTCACTAGCCTTGGAAATTTAATAACTATTATCTTTGCTCACTGAAATAGTGAAAACATATCTTATTATCTTCTGCCATCCTCATCTCCCAGTGGAGCATTTAATTTATTTCTGACAGAATTCTTTTTTTGTAAATATATTTATTTAAAATTTTTGTTGATAATTATTTTTATTAATTATGCAGTAGAAGTCTTTGTAAGTAAACAGTACTTATATATTGAAGATTGATAGAAAGACATGAATTATTACAAATTTAAGCTTCCAGTAGAATGCATAATACTGAATCTTATGGAATTTTAAAACTATTTTTAAAATACTCTTTGCTTAAAACACCCCCTCTTCAGCGAGACTTCAGTTGTGGTCAGTCGAAGGATTTACTCGAAATAAAAATTTGGTAGAAAAACTTCTCTCGGATCTTGAATTTTCCTTACTATTACCTCTGCTTTCGAAATAGATTTGTAGGCTTTACACTACTTAATTTAATTGTTTAATTGTTTCGAGTGATAAAATTATACGTGTCCGTTGTTTGATTCTTAGTTTTCGAATCGCAATCGAATGACAATCCTCTTCTTTACTAAACACAAATATTCTTAACTTTTTACAAATTTTCTTGCATGGCCAACTCATTTCATTTTCAATATTTAGTGGTGAATATGCAATCGCAACAGATTTGTTATCATTACACATAAAATTCTTAATATATTTTAAAATATAAATTTTTACTAGATCACAATATACTTCAAATAATATTAACAGTACGAGTATGTGTAATTTTAAAGTTGTTAACTTGTCTTAGCTTCAAGTTTTTCACCCACTAAAAAAATGTAAAAAGAAAATGTGTTTGTTTACCTACACAAATATACATATTTAGTGTAAGTCACTAAACTATTTAACTTACTCCTTGCTTCGAGAACTCATCACTGCTGTGTAAGTGCACTCTTCACCACACTGCAAAAACAGAGCAATAAACTTACCTAGTCAATTTTGAAATGTTATTAACATGAGAGATGTACACAAGCGCACAATGCTTGATGTTTTTGACTACAATACATAAACAATTAATTTAGATTTTTTCGCGTTTCAAGTCGAATCAACTCAACGCTTTGAGATTGATACAAAAATCCACCATATTTTAAAATTTTGTTACTTATACGTACGCGAGTGCCAGTATTGACCATTCATACTCCATTCATGCCTCGTGCAACTAATTTTGCTTTCAACACACATACAAAGACAAGTTAATCGTTGCTTACGAATGAGTTAGCAGAGTTAGCAGAGTTTGTTGTGCTTTTGGTTGCTTATAAATAGTAACGCTGTTGACGCTAATGACGCTGCTGAATTCAGCGGAAGTTTTGCAAATTTAAAGAGAATCTTTCGTCTTAACGTAGTGAGCACAGCAGAGAAAAGCACACGTGTAAATGGTTGGTTAATATGTACGCGCAGTTTTATGCATGTGTTTCGTTGTGTGTGTTGCTTAGCGCAAAGTGTAAAGTGCGAATTTAGCGGCAATATTGAGGTACGACAATGACGCTGACAACGACGCTGACGCCGACGTTGACGACTAGTGAAGACAGTGCGTTGTGGGATACAAGCACATTAAGATTTGTTAAGAAATTAAGTTGCTGTCGTTTAGGCAGATCAGTGGCTTAAGTTTTAGTTGAGTTTGGACGGTTAAGCGAAACGCATGTGTACTCACGTGTAAAAGTGTTGTGTGCGAGTAAATTTCATAGATACAAAGCATAAATATTGCCAAAAAAATAATTATTAATAAAAGAGAATCAATAATAAAAAGTTTATAACAATTTTCATGTGAATTCGAGTGCGTTTTATATATCGAAAAATTAATTTTAATTGAATAAAGAGTAAGAAATAACAATTTTTATATAAAAGTTTATAAGAAAAATTAAAACTGACCAAGAAAAAATTAGCAATTTAGATTAATTGCAAAAGTTTGTGTCTTACGTCTTTCGAATGAAATAAAAATTTTGAAAAAAGGAATTTTGAAAAATTTTTGTACAAAATTTCGTAAATTTATTAATACTCTCAATAATATATAAACAAATTTTTGAATCAGTGCATAAAGAATACAACGTAAGTGTTATATATATTTAAATAGTAAAAATAAAAATTTTTTAAAATTTAATGAAATAAAATATAAAAACACAAAGTCCATATTATTGTGTATGTTATTGAGATTTTTGCAAACAAGTTTACTGGAGATACTCATGCCACTGACACAGACTGACACTTGCTAAAATTTTAAATTCATAACCCAACCTGACAGGAAATTAATGAACAATTTTATAAATTCTATTGAAGAAAAAAAAAAACAAAAAATAGACAAAGAATTGCTCAATGGGTCTGTTTTTTCTTATTTCGAAATGTTTTTAAATATTTCAACAGTATTGTAAGAACAATGAAATTTCCTAATAATATAAAATATTATGATAATAACTGAGTTAGGAATTTTTCAGCATTTAATATTGACAGTTCGTCTCACAATATCCTCAAGATTATTGAAATCCACAATATCAACGACGCTTTAGAATAGAAAATCTTATGATTCTGCTGAGTAACGAACAGTGGCAGCATACAAATTGATATAATTTTTTTATTTTTTATTGCTTAATATCTTTCTATTGTTCATTACAAACAAATAAAAAAAATGGTAATAAATGCCTCTATTATTATTAATTTCAGTTCTCTTTAAAATAAAGCCTGTAATTTAAAGTTTTTATTATGCACAAAGTATAGTCATTATAATACTTAATAAAAAAATATAATTTGTATGCATATTAACCAGTTGACGTTTAATAATTATCTTATTAATTAATACGTACTGAGCACTACATCGATATTGTCCTAAAAAAACTTTAGGAAAGTACGTCTTTGAAAATTTGCAAACATATAATTAAACTGCAATTCCTCAAACTATATTAGTTGACCTTTCAATAGTAGTAAATAACAAAATAATGTATAACAAATACTTAATATTAGATGCTTTAACTAATTAATAATTAGATATTTTGTATTAGACTGACCTTTTTTAAAACATTCAAAATGTGATATCAGAAACTTTATTTCCTGATCATCTATTTATCCTGATATATAAAAAAAATTTAAGGAAGATAATTAGGACAATTGGAGTGGAATTTTTCTATTGGAGTGTTGATAAGGTATCTCCCAACAGTATTCCTACATTTTATTATTATAAAATTGCAAGAGTAGGACGGTCATTATAACAGATATTGCACGTTTTCGACATTTTCTTCGTTATCATGACTTCAAATAAGTCTAAAAAGTTTCTATTTCAATTATTAATACAGTAATATATCGTATGAGCTAAACTTTATATATTGTGTCACATTTGTTTTGTTCAGGAGGCTATATCAATATATATATATATTAACTAATAACGTACCGGTACATTTTCAATAGTGACTTATTAGGAACTTATTTAGAATTATTCATGAGAACGACGTTTTGTAATAACGCTGAAATAAGTATCCCTCAATTACATATTTAATTCCATAGTGAAAATTATTAGGACTTTATTAAGGATTTTTCATTAGAACGAATTCTTTGCAATGACATTGAATTAACTATCCATCAATTTCCTCTTCCTCAAACCTTCCATTAATCTGAATTATGTATTAATAACAATCTGAACTTGTGATAACAAATTAATTATTTTAATTGTTTATTTAAATATTGCTTTGAGTTCTACAAAAAAAAATGCGCTCAAAGTAATTAAATAAAAACATACAGATGAACGGTCGAGAATATAATTACAAAATATTGTACATAAGGTATCGCATGTTGTCGCATATAAACTAGTTTAGTTTAATTAAATGAATTCTTTTTATTCAATATGTGGTGAGTAATCAATAAAAATTCTACGATTAATTAATTAGAATAATGCATCCGATAGGAGAATAAAAATAATAAACTGCAATGAAGATATTGTAAAAACAACATTTAAATATTACTGCTTTTAATATTAATCAAAAAAAAATATTAAAACAAAAATTAAAATATTAAATTAAATTATATATAATAATACGAATTTAAAGAATTAAAAGAATTATGACATATTCTAACAAACAAAGTAATTAATTTTTGAACTCTTAATTTAATTTAGAACACTTTATAGGTTAATTTCCGCAATTTCTTTAGCAAAGTAAATGAGAATTATTTAGAATTTTTATTTGAAGAAAAAAAAAAACAAAAAAATATAATAATTATTTTTACTAATAAAACAAATAATAATTTTATTCACTCAAATCAAGAGTCAAATTTTAATTATAGTTTATTATTTTCTATTCACTATATTGTTAAAATCTTAATTCTTTTTAATTATATTATGTGTAAATAAATTATTGTTAGTTGCTTATATAGCTAAGAGCAATAAAAGTTAGGTTAGATAAAAGGTCAACAACAATCTGTGCAATGTGCGATCTTTACAATATTAGATGTTTTTTTAACAAGACTGTTCAAAGTACAAAATTGAATATAATTTAGAGGAGCTAAATGAATGTAAAATCAGAAGTTAAGTTAAACTGAGTTGTTTTAAATTTAATATTATACATTTTTAAAAAAAATTAATTTATTATTAAATTATATTTGACATTGGTCATGCAGTATACTCCTTTTTAATAAATATCAATATTAATTATTGAAGAGAAAAATAATATTAATTATTCCTTAGAATACATTTAATATAAATTGAAGGTTATATGATTATATAGTTCTTACCCATAGCATTATTCATTACCAACAAATACTTGTGGGATTACAAAAAGAGTCTAATAGATAAAGTACAATGATATTTATTTTTTTTTCCTGAAAGATAAAAGCGGTTTTTCTATAGAATTACAGTAAAATAACACAATCGGTTATATCATTTGTGTTTCAGATTAATCTATAGAATTATACTTGCTTTGTTCTATGGGTGCTCGTTTATGTACATATAGAGCTATTTGAGAAGTTGACTTTGACTATGCTAATTGCTCACACATTCCTAAATTTTATAATTATGAATTTGCAAGAGTAGGACAGTATTAATAACAGATGTTTGCATGCTTCCATCTCTCTCTTCGGTTTACAGCTTCAAAAAATCTAAAATAGGGTACTAATTGTATCTCTTAGTAGAGATGTCCATTGCTATTTTAATGATTGTAAAGAAAGCGTCATTTTAAATAGCTTTGTATTATAAAGTTTTGCGATATTGACATTATATACCTCGATTGTTCACATTTTCAGTAATATCGATACTTGCTACTATTACAATGTATGCTTTTTGAATCTGTGCGAACCGGTTTGGCACTTACCTACTCAGTCCATCTTATTTACTTTACACTTAAATGTTATTTGAAAAAATTTATAAGTTTATATATATTTTTTATTGAAATTTTTTTGTGACTTTTATTTTTAAAATTTTCAACCAATTGCTTGAATTTTGAAATATAAGTAATCTAAATTGAATGACTCATATTTATTAAAAATTTTTAAGCTACATAATAATGAAATATCAGTTTTGCCATATAAAAACATGTATCTATAACGCGTTTTATACGGCAGCTGTATCTAAACTTGAATTGAACTATAAGCATATTAAAAATAATAAGTAAAATTAAGAAGAACTACAACTTTTACCTACATTTATTCTGTACTCTATTTTAGAATATTTAACACATATTATATAAAATATTTATTGTATTTCATATCATTCGATTCGATTCGACTTACGTTTAGATACTAATTGCAATGAGTGACAATCAAACAAGATAAATTACACAAAAACACAGATAGATAAATGATGAGACATGCATATAGGTGGATTAGATTACTTGGACTAGACCGATGCATTAAAACAAGCTCATCAGATATACATATGTCTATATATGTATACACTGTCTTTATTAGTGTATAGTTTCAAACAACTGAAAGCACTTATGATACCATTTGATTACAATGTGTGAAGGGTACAAGTATGAATCTAAATTTCAAAGTCATTAAACTATTGTCTTATTGACATCTTAAAGGATTTGGATTTGGATTTGACTGTATAATAACTGTAAATTCATATTAACTATGAAAAGTTCAAGGTTTTGCCTGAAAATATATAAGAAACTAAAAATAAATGAATAAAAATTGAAATTTGCTTATAATACATAAAATTTAAGTTAATATGACACGGTTTCTTTTTCATATTTTAAGTTTGCGAATTATATTTTCAAGCTTCTTTCTGTGTAAGTCGTTCTTGGGGTTTTTTTTTAAATTTTTTCATTTCAAGGATAACTTGTCAGTTTGATGTTATTATATATATGAGTATTTTTAAGCAAGAGTGCAGATTTTTTTGAAATTTATAATCATTTACTACTTTTAATTAAATTGACTTAAGAATTTAAAGGTTGTTCAGTTTTCAAGACTTTTACTTCGGTTTTATATCTTACATTGCACAATGAAATCAGTAACAGGTAAACGTACTGATATTTCAGTATACAAGAATAATTTGCAGATTAAAATAAAAAATTTATTTAATTGAGTTTATTTCTTCAACACTACTTAATATAATATAACATATATTTGTTTCAAGTTATATATAAAAAAATTTTCTAAAGCTTCTATAGCTTCAACAGTTGAAGCCCATAAAGAGCCTCTTAAGAGAGACTATAAAGACCTGCTTTCCTTCATATATACGGAACTGTTACTAAAGCTTCTAGAATTGAAATTGTGAGAAAAAGAAATGAAATCATTAGAAATCATTTTATTTAAGTATTCTTAATGACTGCTTGATAACAATCTCTATTAAGGAAATTTCGTCTCCAACGATTTCCATCTCATGGCATGGTTTGGACAGGTTTTTTGATTAGATTATTTTTGTCTAAGTACAATATAGCTTAGATAATGAATCGTAATTGACTATGTTATTGTTTTGGTAACGCTCATAGAGTTTACGGTTTCAACGAGAACAATATTAATCATTAACACATACTTTCAGTTACATAAAATAATATTAATATAGATAGTTTTAGTAACAGATACTTTTCTTTTTACTTATTCATATAAGCACTATTGTTGTTATAATT